TAGAGCTTGTGGTAAGCACTCCACGTAGGAGAGTGTGACTTGTGGGTTACCACTAGCAAGAGGACCGACGACAACCTTGGAGCTTGTCTCAATGGGGACTAGCGTGTTGGCAAGCACGTGAACCTCGGGATAAAAATCATCGTGTCATCCTTGTATTCCCGTTGGTTTGCATCCTCGTTACACAAGCTTGTATTTACTTTATTTACATTGTGCTTGTATAGTTGCTCTTGTAATTAGTTAGCTTGTGTAGCTTGCTAGTTACCTTCTTGCTTGTGTAGCATAGAAGTAGCTCCCTTACGTGACTAATTCGGTTTGAGTAACCTTGTTAGTCACATTGCTTAGTTTATGTAGCTAAGAAATTTGCGCTCTATATTTGGCTTGTGTAGCCTTGTTATTGAGCATTGCTAGTGAGCTTAGGTGGCTTTGTGCTTTTGCTTACTAGCATGTGTAGGAGCTCCCTCGTTGTTTGAAGTACTAGTGGCATAGGTTTGTATGACCTTACTTCTAGAATTGGTTAGGTGAGCTCTAGCTAGCCTGGCACCTTTGTTGCCTAATTAGGATCTTTATAAGGTGCTTGTGAACTTCGATAGAGGGGTGTAGTCTTGGCTAGACTGATTGTTTTAATTCCGCATTTGTTTCGGTTAGCCGGCGCGATTAAATTTAGAAAGGACTATTCACCCCCCCTCTAGTCCACCATCTCGACCTTACATGAGCATATGAAGAACATCGGATCTTGGATAATATATGTTGCTTTTAAAACTTGGCCACACAAAGAGAGAAGGATATTAAATTATTCTCTACCCTTGTCTTGCTAGCATAGCAATATTGAAAGCGTGTAGATCATAAAATCCCAATCCACCTTTGGTTTTTTGCTTCACCAATTTCTCCTTTTCCATCCAATGATTTGTTTCCTTATCTTGTTGCGTCCACTAGTATCGCAAAATCATTGTTATTATGTCATCACATAGTGATTTGGTGAGGTGGAAGCAAGACATAGCATAGACAGGGATGGTTTGTGCAATATACTTAATCAAGACTTCCTTTCTAGCTTTTGAGAGCAACTTTTCTTCCTAGCCTTGACTATAGCGCCAAATTTTCTCCTTTAAAAAAAGAAAAAGCATTAGTCTTAGATTTCCCATGAAGACGGGCAGGCCCAAATTCTTTTCACTAGAAGCAGCATATGAGATTCCTATATTTTGCATGAAACTTCCTTTTACTTCATCAGACACATTGACACTGAACATAACCGCCGACTTTTTCTTATTCACAATTTGCCGACAACATTTCTCATAGTCATCCAATATCTTCCTAATCTTCATAGCAACTGAATTTGTAACACTTAATAGCAAGAGTGCATCATTAGAAAAAAACAAATGTGTCAAGCTAGGTGCCTTCTCACAAATCTTCACACCCTTTATTCGCCCTTCTTCATCAGCTGCCTGCAATTAATGCCATAGACAGAGATTTAACACAAATAACAAATAAATATTGTGACAGGGGGTTGCCTTGTCTAAGTCCTCTAGACAGATTGTTTCCTTGTACACTATTCACCTTGACCTTATAAACGACTGTTGAAACACATTTCATAATAAGTTTGTTCCAATTTCTTGAAAGCCCAGTCTATGAAGCATTGGAATTTGAGATGACTTCTGCAAGAATATTCTATAAGCGATTTGCCAACACCTTTGTTACAATTTTGTAAATCACATTACATAAACTAATTGGGCGAAAATCTTTTAGGTGGTTAGGAGTCTTGACCTTGGGTATGAGAACAATATTTGTGTCATTCCATCCAACTGGCATCTCCCCACCATTTACATCTTTCAGAACTTCTTCAATTATTCTCTCACCCACAATGTGTCAACACTCCTTATAAAAAATGGAGGGCATGCCATCATGTCCAGGGGCTTTTAAGTCTCTAATTGAGTCCAAAGCTCTTTTAATTTCTGTAGTTGTGAATTCATCCAACAATATCTCATTCATCTGTTGTGTTACCCTTGGTTGTTTTGATTCAGAAAAAGAGCTAATGAGATTTCTGCCATGTGAGGTGAACAAGGCCTAGTAGTACTAGAATACAAAATCCTTCAAATGCTCTTCTCCTTCCACTCAGTCCCTTGATTGTTTCTCACCTTTGTTAGCATATTGGTTCTTTGCTCTGAGGTGAAAGCATGGAAAAACCTTGTATTCTTGTCTCTATTTTTTCGTCAATGCATATAACTTCCTGAATGTCTTTGTTAGTTTAAAATATGCAGGACCTTTCGTTATTGCTTGCATATGCCTTGAACAATCGCTAGAGTTAGAGTCCTTCTGGGCACCGCATAGGACGGGGAGGCACACCTTGTGCACGTGTCGCCATTGGGGCCTACGACAGGCGTGGTAGCATCTGTGAAAGTAACAAGTGGTCCAGACTTGTCCGGTTTTGCTATCGGCTCGCAAGATATTGGCACCACGCCTAACTCCACTCAAAAAATTTATCGTTAACCTTTTAAATCGATATTTTAAAATTAATCTATTCAAAAATTTATTTTAAAAAATAACCCCTTTGTCCATGCCAAGGGATATGGCGCAACATTAACACTCTATCGCATCACATGCATCGACACGGCATAAAGCTGCCACCGTGCCCTGAATGATTAGCATGAAGTGTGCGTGGGGCCACCCGTCAGTGCCATGACACTTCGCGTGCCAAGGCTCTGCCACGCCAAGCCGCATGGCATGACACAGTTCCGTATAGGGTCCACATGACCTCCCTCCTCCCCGTATGTCTCTCTCTCATTTCTTCTCTTCATCTCGTAGAGTGAGCAGGCGCCCTCGTCCAGCTGCTAACGTTGGCCCAAATCCTATAATTTGAGCCCGGAATTTTGGGGGAAAACTATCCCCCAGCCTTCAACAAGGTATAGCCTCCATGGATTTCTTTTTATCTCGGAACACATTTGGTAGTTTAGTAGACGAACATACTCCTCACTTAGGGTTATGCAATTATTTTGAATAACATCACCTTTGTTACGGTGATCCTTAGGTTCACCCGCAATATATATACATGTATATTTGTGCAGCATATGGACAATTTGTGTTTTAGGTACGGTAATCTATTTTTGTGTCAGAAATTAGAAATAACTTCTATTTCTGATGTTATTTTTATTCCATATTCAGCCTCTAAGAGACCAGCACCTGCCTCTAACTAATAGATACTATAGTTAGAACAGATTTAAAGAACAACTATAGAATCACATTGTTTTTTTCCTTCAACAATGAACTATGGGCTCTCATGTTATTCTTTGGTTCCAAAAGAAAGGAAGAGATATTCTTTACTTCTACTAGTTTTGTTGGGCTTGTCAAACTATTCATCTAGTTTACCATTGTATGCATTGCTTAACATGTTGTACTTTTCGTTGGATCTTCTATGAATTATGATGTGTTCTAATAGCTTGGCTTCTTTCTAATGTTATACAAAATTAGAAGCATGTCATTGATGTTAAAATCATTGATTTTTGCATGGCAAGATGGTGCACCCTATGTTGCCCCTCCTTGAGACCTTCTACGACGAGAAACACCAGGCCCACTTGCTAATGGATGTGGACCCCTAGCCGGAGTTGGCCCTCCTGCAGCTCTGAAGACACACACACACCATCAGTGGGATGCACGTTATGCCCCTTGCATTAAGCATGTTGGCTTCTTCTAGCTTGACTAGGTGGTCAATGTCGAGATCCTAGACCTTGACAACCCTATTCTCACCGCCTTGGTGGATCATTGGCGATTGAAGACCCACACGTTCCACCTCCCTTGCGGTGAGGTGACTATCGTGCTGTGTTACCTGTCTCCTCGTGGACGATTATGCGGTCACTAGGATCCTTAATAGAGATGGGGGGAAGGACACGGTGAAGAAACACATGGGTACGAAGCCCCAAGACCATGTGGAGGGCGCAAAGGTCAAAGTAAGTAACTTTACTGTCAAATCGTGCTTTGGTAACACCAATTCATGGATTTGCAGGAAAACCTCTTGCGCTCATGCTGGATGGAAAACATTCGGATTATCAACATCTACCCGGTAAGACCAAAACACTCATGCGATCCATGACTATCCGTCATAAAAAAATCTCCTTGCGATCCATGACTACCCGATGCAGAAAAGGAAATTTCCCCAACCCCTGCATGGCTGATCTGCCCGGCTCTATCCCGCACTCCTCCCTCACAGGTTCCTTCAGGTCTTTCCATGCATGGATGCATGCACATGCACCCCACTCCAACATGCAGCCGCGATATTCTTATCTTTTCGGCAAATCCAGAAAGCACATATCACGGAAAAAATCAACAATAAGGGAAATGTTAACATCCACTGGCAGGACGTTGTTGTGCCCAATTGCGTGCACCCCAGCGCTCCAAGATCTACGGTATTTTTTCCTTTCAAGGAAAATCGGACAAATCATAGGAAAAAACAACAACAATCAAATCCTGATGCCATCTATGTACATCCCTATCCACAACCACGCCTCCGGTCAGCTATCACATGTCACAAATGAAGAGGGGTTAGTCGAAGAACTTAGGTTATGCTTTGCTTCGACAAAGAATAGAAGACGAGTACCCCCATTTTTTCTGCTCATCAAACTTATTGAATAGAATCAAATAGAAAGGCCATCAACGCTTCTGAATTTTCTAATGAATCTAAGATATTCAATTTTATTAGGTTTTATTTACTGCCAAGAGGACTGAAAAGAGGTATGATTAGTTATTGCATAAACAACTAAAACATATGGATTGTCAATATCTACTCGGTAGAACCAAAACACTCATGCGATCCATGACTATCCGACGTAAAAAATATTTCATTCAATTTATGATATACCCGTTATAATGCACGAACACACTTATAGAGAAATGATACAATAAAATAATGGTGCCTAGTAAACGAAAACGGAGGAGGGCTCCCCAAAAAGCAAAACCCCAAATTCCAACCCCCACTATCCCAATTTCTGCCCCTCCAATCGGCGGCGGCGGCGGCGATGGGGCGGCTCGAGATCGATTGGGACGATTTGTTCGACAACTCGTCCACCGACCACGAGGAGGGCATCTACTTGGGCTCCCCATCGCCGGCGGCCGCTAAGCGGGCGCGGGTGGGGCCGGCGGCCACTAAGCGGGCGCGGGCGGGGGCGGAGGGCGTCGCGAGGGCGTCATTGGGCGACGAACAGCCGCGAGGGACCCAAGCCCTCCACCTGAGGTTGGAAGCACTGTGCAGCGAGCTCGAACGACGCGTGGGTGAGCTCCGACCCGTCGAGCGCAGCCCAGTGACCCGCGCGTCCGCGAAGGTGCATACACCCATCCTGTTGTCGCGTATCGAACTGGAGCGTTCGATTATGGATCGATTGACTTTGCGCTAGTTTTGTAGATCTGTGGGATATAGTGCGCATTGTGTTTCTCATGAGTGTGCGGGCAACATTGTCTGTTATTCAGAGAAGTATTGCTCGCTTGGTTTGCAGACAGCTGCTGATCGGGGACAGGATACTCGTTCCGCTGCCGAGAATGTACACAATTTCAGTAAGATTTCGACACTTGCGGCCGTCATTACCATTTTTAACATGGATCGGAAAATGTTGGGCTCATCCACTCGTGATGGATTACTGAATTTACCATAAGAAGTGCTGTGTAGCACTAACCTCAAGTCCTCAACTGAACGGTTGCTGAGTCTGTTCCAGTTGTTCACTAATACGAACTGTCACTGATGTGCTGTGTTATGTGTCACTCTGTTTGTAGATCAAGAGGATGAGCAGGGGGAACATGTGGCCTGTAAATGCTGTCTCAAGTCATCTCCTGTTTTAGTCAGAAGAAAGAAGAATCATGAGCAGGTATTATGTAATGTCTTTCTTTTACCTTGTTTATTATCTGTAGGCATCTCTTGAAACTATGATGGGGAATTGTCAAGGTAGCAACCCGTGTGAATAAACGCAAAAGCTGAGGGGCATGGTGGACAAAGGATTAACCAACCATTGTTCTGTTTGGTAGGCTGATGGCCATCGCAAAAGGGTTCCTCGTGCTGCAGCGAAGAATGACGACAAGGAACCTGCTGCTCCCCCAGAGGAAATCTTTGAGGCGGTCAGAGAGATACCGAGCTTGGAGCGTGCTGGTTTACTGAGAGCCTACAGCATGCTCATCCGTGATGATCGTTTGTTCAGATCTCTAATGGTGCTGCCTAAGGACATGAGGAAGGACTGGCTGCTCATGGAGATCGAGAACCAGTGAACTGAGGCTTGTCCTGTTTGCGCTGCATGCACACAGCAACTGACAACATGCGTGACAATTGAGTAATTGACAACAGCCTGTTCGGGAGGCCGTATCGTATCGTGGATTATTTACTGCTGGCTGGTTTGGTGTGAGAGAAAAATGTTAAATCCTTTGGGACCATCTAGGAGTGGATCCAGTGGGGTTTCATTGGGTTTCTCGTAGTAATGGTGTGAACAGAGAGAGACAGAGAGGGAGAGGAAGAGCTAGGGTTAGGTACTGACCATCCATTGAGTAGGGGATCCGGCCATCAGGTTCATCGGTGAAGTTCTGCGCTAGGCAGCGACGGTCGGTGAAGAGAGCGACGCAGTGAAGACCGTGGTGGCGCAGTGCAGTGGCGGCGGCGGTGCTTCCCGTCACTGGCTGCGCCCCTCTGTTAGATCGGAGTAGGGTTTCTAGGTGGGCGTACGGCTCAGGCGAACCTCGTACCGAGAGCCGTCGACCCCACCTCTATTTAATCTTGTGAGTGTGGCGGGGCCCGCCACCATAGATGGACCTGGGCGCCCCGATCGGCGCGAGGTCAAGGCCCAAGTGGTCGTTGGGCCACTGTGGTTGGGAGATCAAACCAACATTCTCCCCCTTGATCTCAACTCATACTTTAACTTTAAACTTTGACTTTAATCATTTTCACTTTTATTTGTTCCATCACAAATTAGTGCATAGAGCATGCTTTATCGTCACGGTCAATTGCCGATAAACTTAATATGACTACAATACACATCTCTGTTCGAAGCAGATTCTTTAACTTTGGGCCCTTTGTTGTCCAGGAAATCATAGGCTATACCATAAACCCATGTCATTGTGTGTTCTCCAAACACTTTGGGTGGTAAGCCTTTGTATGCTGGATCCGCAAGCACTTGCTTGTTACTTATATGTTCAATACTTTTAGTATGATTCCGGACTTTCTCCTTCACAACATTACAACTTTAATGTCAATGTGTTTGGTGGCACACTTGACCCGTTGTTATAGGAGCGAACTACTTAAATGGTTATTCTTTGTTACATACCATTATCAATTCGGGTGTAAGTTCTTTTAACCACTTCGCTTTGTCCTTTAAGCCTCATATCAAGCTATCTTTGTGGGTATGCATCCTTGATGACACCATTAACAAGCTTTTTCTCTGGAGCTTTTCCACAATAAAACTCCAAGCATGAAAGTGTTAGCTACTATGTGGGTTTCACTAAACATCTCGCCAAAATTTAACATTTGTACCCACAACTATTTGAGAGTACTTATTCTTTCTTACTCACCATGAGGCCTACAAATCTTTGCACAATTGCAAAACATTCTCATCTCCATTCCAGTTGATCTATATCTCGGATGGACTTACGCCATAAAATATCCGGATACATGAACTATGTCGAGGTAAGTTCTTGCTTATAAGCATTCATTAAGCTTCCAACAAATTGAAGCATATAGGACGTCCTTTTTAATCGATCTCACATTTATTCTTGAAACACTTTGAAAGTTTGAAAACTATTACCCTTGACTATAGGAACAGTATGGGTTTATTCACATATATACTTTATTTCTTTAGAATCTTCTCTAAGTATACACTTGAGATAGTTCTAATACCCTTTTCCTTTTATCTCGGTAAGTTCCAATTCTCGGAAGCGAATGATGCTTTACCAAGACCATTCTCATTGAAACTTGAGGACAAGAACTATTTCTTCTCCAACAGTAGATTAACACCACTACTAGCGAGTAAGGTGCTACCCACATGCAGGATTAGGAAAATAAATTTCCCATGTTTAAACTTTGCATAAATACAATTATCCTCTACATTCTCTTTAAAACCCAAACTTTCTTATTGTACTGTCAAACTTCAAGAACCACTGCCTTGAAGCTTGCTTTAATCCATAAATGGATTTCTTTAGGCAACATCCCTTTACGTTCTTTTCCTTCCACGACAAAACCTTTTGAGTTATGCCATGTAAATGTTTCCATACAAATCCTCGTTGAGGAATGTGTCTTTACATCCTTCTGATGTAACTGTAAATCGTAATGTGCCACTAATACCATTATGATTATAAAAGAATCCTTGCAAGCTTATTATAATATATTCCTTCTCTTTGTGTAAATCATTTCGCCACAAGTGGCGCTTTATAGCTTTTCATATTTCCTTTGGAGTCACCTTTGTCTTGTAGACCCATTATAGCCTACTGTTTTGGCTCCATTAGAAATTTCTTCTTAGTCACCAGAAATATCTGATTTTCTTATTCTTTGAGACCTTCTAGGGCCTCGTGGCACTTCTTTCATATGGGGCTATTGTTACTCTTCATTGCCAAAAGGCAATTGTTCTATAGCCTCCTGTATCACAAGATCCTTGTTTACTTATTCATCCTCTTTAAGAGCTAACGTCTGGTGTTGTATATGTCATACAACATCAACATGTATTAAGCAATTTGTTGCTCTAAACACTGTAGTGGATATGTAATCCCACTTCTATTCAAGCTTTAGGTATCTACATACCATGCTCCCCCAGATTACTCCATCTTCAGTAAAGATGGTGTATCTTCAAATTTCTTATTTTGGGTTTAATCTGCTAAAAACTCATATGGCGTCATCCAGTATAAATACTAGCTGACTATGCTATCTTCCTATCGGAACTGTAAAATGTTCAGGAATTTAGCTATTTCTTTACTTTAGGGGTATCATAATTATGACCGTCTTACTCCCTCAACGATCACATTCATCTTTTATAGATCACTTTTACCTTCAATGCATAGTGTGCATTGCTTATCTGAAGTATGGGGAAGTATCTTTCTTAATCTTACATTTCTCCCCCTCGAAATGTGGTATGAACTTTTCTACCACAATTTCGAAACATTCAGAACTCTTGTGAATGAGGAAACTTTGATTACTTACTTCATCCACATGATTGCAGCATGCAAACAAAATTCGTATGGGAGTACATTTTCCTCATTACACTTCAAAACTCAACATAGTCTATTATTATCAATACTTCTGCAAGTCATGCTTGCATATCATTCTTATCTTTTGATTCACATGCAACTTTCTTTTGTTCTTAAACTCATTGAGTACTTAATGACCATGACACAATCAGAGTGTACGGTCAATACTAGGATAGCATAAAAGCTACCTCAAACTTCTCTCCATGTGCGAGATATACTTAGAGCACATGAGTCATCACATCCTTCTCCCGCCATGCGGGATAAGTACTATGCCAAACTCTCCCGTCATGCAGGATTGGTTAACATATGTACTATGCCAACTTTACCCCGTCATGCGGGTATTTTCTCAAACTTTTCCCGCCATGTGGGTACTATCATAAACTTTTTCCCGCCATGCGAGATATTCCTTTGAACGGACATAATTGCCAGGACTAGCTCGTGTTCAATCATCAAATTCAGAAATAAATCCGAATATTCTTTTAACACACATGTTTAATCCAATGTTAGTCAAATTAAACATGTATATGACTTTTACAACTCTCATAAGTGAAACTGAAAATAAATTCTTCTCCACAGAGAGTACATAAAAGACATTTCTCAATGAAGACTCCCATTGATCTATCTCTTTTCTTGGATCAATATCCTAGAATTCTTTTCTTTTGAAGCCATTCTTTAAAGAGAACACAGTCTCTTAACCAATGGCATTCTTTCATACATAGCTTGCCCTTGGGCATTTCATCATCTGAGTCACAAGTACCCAGCTCATTTCTCTTACTACCTTCAAGAATGAAAGCATGGAGGTCTTTTGTCTGAAAAATATTCAACAATAATGCTCTTTAAACTTTGAAAACTTTATGTTCTATTCTATATCACCGTTGGGCAGAAATAGAATAAAACATCATTCTTCTACATTAATTCCACATCACCGTTGGGCAGAAATGGAATTAACGTATAGAAATTTAATAATCTTAAAAGCATAGAACTGCTCCTCAAAATTAAATTCTCCCGTTGGTTGAATTTAATTAGAAGACAATCAACTTCATTGCAGTGAAATATGAAAATACATTTCTCTAGTTTAAGAGCATTCCTTGATCTTTATCTTTCTCCGAAAAATTGGTCACTTTGATGCAAAATTCATCAGAGATTTAAACTTTAAACATAAAACTCATAGAATTATAATATTGTTATCATCAACGTTGGTCAGAAAATAACAATATCATAATTCAACTTTAACCTTAAACTCATAAATAAACTTATAATATTGTTATCATCAACGTTGGTCAGAAAATAACAATATTATAATTTATCTTAACTATCAACCGACTATTCCTCCAATTAAAATTTTCCAGCTGATTCTAATTTTAACTGGAGGATAAACTTTTCATCATTTACTGAATAACTATAACTACTCTTCAAATTAGAAGACAATAAACCTTCAACTTTGCAGCGGAAACTTGACAAAATTTCTTTTCCTACTTTTGAAGCATTTTACTTTACTCATCTGTTTCTCTAAACAAATTATCACGTTGGATCAAATTTGAGTAGAGATAAAACATTTAAACTTAACTTTATTCATTCAAAATAGCTTCGAAAAATAAAAAATGATAAACCTGAAAACTCTCCTTCTTGTTCATTTGGCGGGAGGCTGCTTGGCCCGAAGGCTGATCGCTTGTCCGCCCAAAGAAGCGTCACAGAATACAAGACCCGCGCCAAAGCCGCAACTCAGGCTCGGGCCGGAAAGTGGCATCCCTTTGGGCCGTTGAGTGGTTCCGGTCATTCCACGCCGTCGGATCAAATCCGACGACCGTCCGGCCGTTCGCTTTGATCAAAACCCCCCGCCATGTCGGTGATCGGCCTCCCTCTGAACCCTAGCCACATTTCTTTCTCCCTTCTCTCGCGCCTCTCTCTCTCTCAGAATACTGACACGAGCGGCAATGAGCCGAGCAGCCGAGGAGGAAAGCGAAGGCGGCGCCATCAAGGGGGTTCCTCTTGCGCGAAAGCGCTCCCCATCGGGAGAGCGCGCCGCTCAAGCTGCCCGTGTTGGCGCCTGCACCCGTACCTTCGCGCGGATGCACCTCGGTGACGAACACCGCGCTGGTCCGGTCTTTCCCTTGACGACGGCGAGAGATGGCAGCGATGAGGTAAGCCACCGCCTTGCTTTTCCCTTTCCCGTTTTCGCTTGTTTGGATCTTGCTTGCTCTTCTCGGTTTTGACCGATTGGGATGGGGATCGAGTTAGGGTTAGGATTCACCCTTTTCTTCTTCTTCCCCGAGTCTGTAGCGGGTTAGGGTTCGGATCTCATCGTTCTCTTGAATCTGAGCCCTCTGTTTCCATCTTCACCCAGTTAGGGTTAGGGTTAAGGAACCCTTTCTGTATGCTCAGATCCGAAGGATCTAATGCGTTCTTTTCCTTTCTTTGTTCTCTTGATTCTCTTCCCAGCGTCAAGAAGCCGTACAAGGGTGAACCATCCCGAGTGAGGCGGTAGTGACGGCGGTGGGGAAACCTTCCCGGACCATCCAATTTCTTTACGGTTAGGGTTCTTTAGGAGGATAATCTGAATCAAATTCTAATCCCTTCCTTCTTTTTTCTTTCTATCACCCGAATAGGGTTTAGGGTTCGATGAACCCTCGTATTTCTTTCTTTCGATCCAAATCGGATCTAGCTCCGTTCTGTTCTTTTCTTTGCCCGATCTAGATCCACATACGGCCATACTAAACCGGGCTCGATACCATTGTTAAATCCTTTGGGACCATCTAGGAGTGGATCGATTGGGGTTTCATTGGGTTTTCGTAGTAATGGTGTGAACAGAGAGAGAGAGAGAGGAGAGGAAGAGCTAGGGTTAGGTCTTGACCATCCATTGAGTAGGGATCCCGCCATCAGGTTCATCGGTGAAGTTCTGCGCTAGGCGTGACGGTCGGTGAAGAAGAGAGCGACCTTGATGAAGACCGTGGTGGCGCAGTGCGATGGCGGCGGCGGTGCTTCCGTCCTTTGGGTGCGCCCTCTGTTAGATCGGAGTAGGGTTTCTAGGTGGGGTGTACGGCTCAAAGCGAAACCTCGCATCGAGAGCCGTCGACCCCACCTCTATTTAATCTTGTGATGTGGTGGGCCCGCCTTGACCATAGATGGATCGGGCGCCCCGATCGGCAGCGAGGTCAAGGCCCAAGTGGCCGTTGGGCCACTGTGGTTGGGAGATCAAACCAACAAAAAACACTGTTCCCGGCTGGAAATTTACGATCGTTTACGAGCAAGCGAACAGGCTGATTCGAGTGATCTGTTTATCTATCTAGTGCTGGTTATGTGGTATTCGTTTCCCAGATGTAATTATCCTAGCCTCTTGTTGGACCATGTAATGCAATGCCTGTGTTGTTTCCCTAAGCTAGTATGAATCTTCTTCACTGTTTGCGTGTGAGTGTGTGCTACATCGTAATATTTTTTCTTCCCTCTCTCAAGATCTTGAGATGCTTCTCTCTATTGTTATTGTGCTGCTGTTCTTGCTGGCTTTGTTACCGTTATAAAAGGCCAACCAAACAAATCAAGTAATGCCTTACATTGTTTACATTAGTGCTGTTTTTCCATTCCCTGTGTGTTAACAGGAGAGAAGGGATTGGGGAAGGAACTCATGGAGGAAGGATTCGAGTTTAGAGTTTTTTTTCCTTAACCTGTCTCTCTTCTCTCACACGTTCCTCTTAAGCGTCTGGACGCAGCCGAACACAGCTCAGTTACATCAGCCGGATCGATCCACTCGGAGCCGAAGAAACGTTTGCCGGGCCATCGGGTCCGTTTACTCCACAGGAGGCCATCGTCTTGCGGTGGCGCCTGGCTTTTGTTGCCGTAACACCGTACTTCCTTAGCCTAACCAAACACTATCCAAGAGCAACTCTGACGGGTTCCTACTTAAACCCTCAAAATCAAATTACACAACCGGAGAAAAAACAGCTGTAGCAGAGTCCCTGCTAGTCATAAGTTTTCCATGCACGCGCTTCGCTACCGCTTTCTACTTAAACCCTCAAGAACAGGGAGAGCCCTCAAATAGACAGTAGGGGGCCGGTTTTGATGGTTATTGCTAGAGTTGTCCTAAGGGTGTAGTCGCAAGTCGCAACCATTTCCTTCACAAGCTGGATCAGGCCAGCTAGGGCTGAAATCGGATTGGATGCAGATGGATATTAGAGATCTTGCATTCTATCCCTTATTTTTTCGGATCTCGCAACCAGATACTGATCATGTCGGATATTGATATCTATCTCATATACATATGAGAAATCTAATTTTGAGTATTCAGATTTGAATATAATACGTATATTAAATGTTCATATTCAGACACGGACTGTCGGGTGCGTTTAGTTGGAGGACGAAGTTGGATGGGATATAGCGATCCATGGATATTGGGATAAGGATATCCATGATGGGTTGGATGGATGAGACGAGTCATTTTTCTGTTTGGTTAGATGGATGAAAGTGGATGGGGTGGGAATAGTTGACTAACTATATCTATTATTTAAAAATAATAACAACTAATTGGACACTAATAAATATGCACTAATACTAATTTTGTCATGATAATCACTATGTTAAAATAAAATATGTTAATTAGCACCACTAATATCCTAATTAGCACACTAAACATGCACTAATCAACTTATTAGCACTTATCAAAACTAATCCTACTACCATAATTACTACTCCTTCCATCCCAGTAAGTCATTCCAAGAATCTTGGAGAGTCAAAGTTTTTCAAGTTTGACCAAATTTATATAACAAAATAATAATATTTATCATACCAAGTAAGTATCATTAGATTCTTCATTAGTTATATTTTCATATTATACCTATTTGATGTCATCAATCTTTGTGTTTCTCTCTATAATTTTAGTCAAACTTGAAAAAGTTTGACTCTCCAAGATTCTTGGAATGACTTACAATTTGGGATGGAGGGAGTAAGTAATAATATAACATCCTAATAATCCTTAATTCATTTACTAATGAGAAAGATTAGAAGACATGTATAAGTTAGTCCGCCATATTTTTTTGGACCATGAAATCCAGCATCTGGAAATATATTCTCTATCTATGAATTTGCTTAACCAAACACTCCATATCCATAAATGGTGCTATCCTAATCCATGGATATCAAGCAACCAAACAATTTCGAACCTTTCAGAGTGGACGGATATCGAAAAATATTCATCTCATTTTCATCCCTAAGCCCAGCCCAAGTTATTTGGCCCATAGCTATACCACACGCAGCCCAACCCATCCCTTTTCCCCACCCGCTCTTCATACGAAGCCCTAACACCGCGAGGCTCATCGGCGGCGGCGGCCGATGGCGGCGGCGATGGGGCGAGTTGTGAACTTGAGCGACTTGGCGGATGCGTTTCCCTGCAGCCCTTCCTAACCCGGCGTAGAGTTCGAGGTCTGCTTCGACCCCCCCCTCCGCAGCGCCGCACGCTACCGCAACAAGGGCGCCGCCGCGCGCTGCTGCAACAAGGGCGGCGTCGGCGGCGCGGAATTTGGCGCGGGCGCGGATGGGGTCCGTCGGGAGGGCGTCATCGAACGACGAACAGCCGCGGGGGAACCCAGGCCGCCTCCCCCGCTGGCGGAGGTTCGGGTTGGAGCGCCCCAAGGCTCCCCGGCGCGCAGGTGGAGAGTGGGGCGCGCAGCCCAGTGACCCGCGCGGCCACGAAGGTGCATACACGGTCGCGTATTGAACTGGAGCATTCGATCGATTTACTTTGCGGTAGATCTGTGGATTTGTGAAAGATAGCGTGCATTGTGTTTCTCAGGTGTGTGCCCTTTGGGCTACATCGTCCGTTATTCATAGAACCTTTACTCTGCTTGGTTTGCGGGCTGCTGCTGAACCGGGACTGGATGCTCAGTCCGCTGCCGAGAAGGATTCACACGGTTTCAGTAAGATTTCCACAATTGCGTGTCACTAACGCTTTTAACCTTGCACGCCCACCATTAGCAAGAGATGGATTGGGAAATATTGGGCTCATGTGATGGGTTAGTAAATTTGTCACAGAAAATGCTGGCTATTCGCGTGGAGTACTAATATGAATAGAACGGTTCTTGCTTGTGTTCCAGACTTCTAGTTCATTAATACGAACTGTCAGTAATGTGTTGTGTCACTCTGTTTGTAGATCAAGAGGATGAGCGGGTTGGACATGTGCCCTGTAACTGTAAATACTGTTTGAAGCCATCTCCTCTTTTAGTTGGAAGAAAGAAGAATCATGTGCAGGTATCATATAGTGTCTTTCCTTCACCTTTTTATTATCAGTAAGGCATCTCTTGAAAGTTGAAACTATGATGAGGGAATTGTGAATGTAGCAGCCAATGTGAATAATCGCAAAAGCCGAAGACATGGTGGACAAAGTATTAACGAACATGTGTTCTGTTTGGTAGGTTGATGGCAATTGCAAAAGGATTGCTCGTCCTGCCGCGAAGAATGACGACAAGGAACCTGCTCCCCCAGAAGAAATCTTGGAGGCGCTCAGAGAGATACCCAGGTTGGAGCGTGCTGATTTACTGAGAGCCTACAGCATGCTCATCCGCGATGATCGTCTGTTCAGATCTCTCATGGCGCTGCCTAAGGACATGAGGAAGGACTGGCTGCTCATGGAGACTGGGAACCAGTGAACTGAGGCTTGTGCTGTTTGCGCTGCATGTACACAGCAACTGACAGCATGCGTGACAATTGACAGTGTCATCGATTTGTCTGTTTTTCTAGTGTTAGTTATGTGGTATTCGTTTCCCAGATGTAGTTATCATAGCCTCTTGTTGGACCATGTAATGCTATGTCTGACGTTTCCCTAAGCTAGTATGAATCCTCTTCAAATTGTTAATATGTGCTGCTGTTTGTGTGACTGTGTGAGCACATGAAACTAGTGGATTGCATACCACTTGTAGACCGTTTGCTGATCCTAACAACATGTCATTTTTCATCAATTTCATCAGGTCAATGCACCCATAAATTTCACTACTCTTCAATAGGGAAATGCAGCAACATGTTACGATTTTTTTTTTTGCAGGTACGCTTCTGAATTTTCGTCAATTTTTAAACCAAAACCTAACAATCTGACCTCACATATCCCTTCAGCCCGGCCAGCCCTTTATCATATTTAGGCCTTGGATCCATTAATAGTAATAGTTAGCTAGCTAACTAGCTCATAGCTAACTATTAGCTGGTTTTGCCCAACTAGTGAAATAATTGTTAATTGGATATTAGCTAACAATTTGCTAAACTATTAGCTGGATCCTGCTCGGATTCAAAGTAGCTAATTACTATTAGCTGGTTTTGCCCAACTAGTGAAATAATTGTTAATTGGGTATTAGCTAAACTATTAGTTGAATCCTGCTTGGATTCAAAGCAGCTAATTACTATTAGCTTATTTTGCCCAACTAGTGAAATAATTGTTAATTGGGTATTAGCTAACAATTAGCTAAATTGTTAGATGGATCCTGCTTGGATTCAAAGCAGCTAATTACTATTAGTTTGTTTTGCCCGATTAGTGAAATAATTGTTAATTAAGTATTAGCTATCAATCATCTAAACTATTAGTTGGATCCCATTTGAATTTAAAGGTGCCCATTATTAAATCCATCGGTCCCACTATATCTGTTGTTCTGGCAATGCATTTAATAGATTCACAATATGTTCCATGTATCCGGACACACCGTATGTCCAGGTTTCGAGAATCTTTATTGTACCTAGTAGAAAGCTAAAACGACACATATAATGGGACAAATGGAGTAACTATTGGCTGCTTGGATCCAAACATGACCTTAGCGGGTCTGGGCCTAACTAACTGGTAACTGATGCCGGCCCATAAGGCCCAGCACTATCGAACCCATGCCCACGCTGCAGCCCAATCCTTCGGCGTAAGCTGATGATTTAGTTGAGCGACAAAATAAAGTGACAAACCTCCGTTTCTTCTACTCACGCTCCTTGCGTGCGTTTCACTCGCACAAAAACCCAGAACGCAAAACCCCCCGGTCGGCCAGTCCCATACCACCTACCCCCGTTTGAATCTCCCCCTCCCTGATCGTAGGCCGATCGGCGGCGGCCATGGTGCAGAGGCGGAGCAACATCGACTGGTATAGTGTGTTTCTGTCCTACTTCTCTCACAATGGCGCGGTCGATGCCAGCTCCGACCCCCCTACGCTAGCGCCGCAAGCCCCCAAGTCTCTAGGCGGCCGCCAAAGGTCCGAGGAGCTGTGCAGCGAGTTCGAGCGGCACTTCGATGAGCGCAGCACAGGCCCGCAGGTGGATGACGGGGCGAACTTTTGAATCACCCGTCTGGCGCCCAAGGTATGCACGCCTGCTAGTTCGTTCCTCTCCTCGTGCAACGAAAATGAGCTGTGGTGTTTGATTTTTTTTTTGTGCGCTTTCTATTCCTCAGTTGTGTGCGTACTGCGTAGGTTTTGTTCGCTCCCTTTAGGAGCTACATCCCATCAGTTATTATTTATAGTACCATTTCTGGCTTGGTTTGCAGGCTGCTGTTGGTTTGGGACCGGATGTGGATGTTCCTTCTGCTTCTAAGGGCGTATGTGATTTTAGTAAGATTTCTACACTTGTTGTCGTTACCATTTTAAACCTTGCACGTCTACAGATGGTTAAAGGTGGGTTGGGAGATAGTAATGCTATCTCACTGAAATTTGGCTTATGCTGATACTTATGCTGATTTGTTGTGAGAACAAAACATTGTTCGTTCGCTAAAAAGTACTGCTGAAGTAGTGCTGAAGAACAGGGCGTCAATCAGAATAAAACAATCATTGAACCTGTTATATATAGCTATTCACTGGTACAAGTTGTCACCGATTTGTTATGTTTCATTTGTGTGTAGGTCTGGTGGATGAGGATGTGCAGGGGGAACATGTGAGCCGGGAACACTCTTCGAAGTCATCTCCCAAGTTTAGTGGGTAGAAGAAGAAGAAGAATTGTGGCCAGGTAAAATACACTTTTTTCAACCCCCCTCTCTCTCCCTTGCTTTGTTGATCCATAGGCATCTCTGTCTTGGACACTTATGAGGGAATTGTGAATGCAGCTACCCTTGAATAAAAGGAAAAGACAAAGCCATGGTGGAAAAAGGAAACCTTCTGTGAACAAACGGAGGGCTCATGCCACTGATCCTGAGGAGTCTGATTATGAAAGTTCACTTCCCAGTAATATTACCTTTCTAACTAGTAATTTTTATGATTTTATGTGTGCATCTTGTGCAACCATCCGGGTTAATGAAAATGTGACCTTATATGGAAATTTGTATGCTTTTTAAAGATATTCTCTGCCTTACTTAATAATTATGTTTCACAAGCATTTGCATATTCCGCACATATGGTTTATATATTGGCATGCATGATGTACTAAATTATTATATTTTTACTTCGCCCAATCATCAGCTCTAATCCCGCATCCTTCTATGCAGGAGGAAGCAACAGCTTCAGAATTCATCTTCTGTTCATTCTTGGAAGGTTGGTATCTGATACTAATTGTTAGAATGGCATATCCTAGCCATTACTGTCTTCCAATCTCAGTCATTACTAGATCTAATAGTAGACATATATCTGCATGTACTTTTATAGCCTGTATTAATTAGTCTAGATTAGAGGATATCTTTGATTCTTTCCTTGCATATACACTCACTGTTGTATAAGTACAGCCTACAACAATAGAGAATTTATTTTCCCTATCTTCTTTCACTAAGCTATACCAAGAAGTGTAATTTGTGAATAATCATTTAATTTCTTGCTCCGTAACTAATCATCCATGTTTTCCTACTGCTTGAATGTTAAAGTCACACAATCCTCATTTTGGATTAACTGCTAAATGTGAAAACTAGATTATGTTGCATTTCCTATTGCATGCAATGTGTAATGAGCATATCATGATGTTTGACTTTAGTGGTCATATATAAGAACAGTAGAGATCGTAGTGAGTTGTTGTTTACCATCAAGGACATTTCTTTGCATTATTGGTGGCTCGATTGCATTAATCATTGCTCACTAGTAAGGCTGGGTAAGGTTGAGAAAAATAAACTCTCTTTGTTAACATGGCGAGGTTACAATTTATGGTATTTTGCACTAAATCTTGTCTTCAGAAAGGTTGGGTGGTTGTTATCCTCTTTAATAGATAACGCTATACTTTCCATTGACAACTTACCGGTATTATTTGTTTATAATAAGTTTGGTTGTCATATGTCACATTGTTAAGAGCCAGGCCGTTTATTGGGCACTCTACCATGCTTTCTCATAGTAGTTTGATCCTGGCACCACTTTTACATGTAATTTTGACCTTATACATTTATTTGTATGAGTTGCCTTTAAGGTTCAAGATGTGGTTCTATTGGATGATGAGGATGTGGAACCTAAGGAAGAAGTAAACCGTGAGATGTCTGACAGACTGTAAGCTCCTCTCTAGTGTTGTATTCATCATGTATACTGTTAGCTTACCTTTTAGTTTATGTTCAACTCAACCAATTGTGTTTTCAGGAATGAACCTAAGATCTACTACCCATCAAGGTGAATGTTGTGCATTTTTCTTCAAAGATCATGAATTCATGGTCGATGTTCATTTTACCTTCCGTTGACTTCATTATGTGAACAGAGATGATCATGAAGCTGTCGAGCTCACCAGATCTGATATTAAATGTCTTGATCCTGAAATATTTTTGTCTTCAGCAGTGATAAACTTCTACATCAAGTAAGTGGTAACTTTATATTATGATTTTTTTTCTTAAACTGCTTCAGTGTATCGCTTACATTTCAAACAAATATTAATTAATGAATGAAAGGGTTACTATGGGAGTATTTAGGTGTTAATGCTTGCTATTTGTTTAAGAAATTTAATGCTTCGTCTTCTACTTTGTTTCACATTGTATTGTCTTAAACACCACCAAACTATTCACTGTGAGCTATTTAGCTGAAGAATTTGTAAAGTAGTAGTATATGAACTTTGAGCTATGCTATGTCCAAGGCGGTATTAAGACAGTACTATGATTTTTTCTGTGATGTTGCTGTGCAGGTACATCAAAAGGACCAGACTGTGTAATGAAAATTTCAGAGACAAATTCTATATATTTAACACGTATTTTTTTGGAAAGCTTGAAGAAGCATTGTATCAGCCAGTACGATCTTTTTTGTCATGAAGTCATACTTCTCTTACCAAATGTCATGCATTATGTCTGTTCAAAATTGGGATAATTATACTATTCTCGGTATGAAATACATGAGCACCTTGTAATAAGTTTATGTTATTTTTTCCCAAACCGTCAAGAGAGCTGCTGATCCCCTTGTTAAGAATAAATGAATCATTAGTACCCAAATACAAAGAAGGCAAAACGGGACACACCCAGTTCTGAAAGCTCCCATACAAGGCGAGGTCTGGAGAAATAAATTTCTAGACAAACCTTACCTTTTTCTTATTCTACAAGGAGGCTGGTTCGAACCCAGGACCTCCAAGCCACAAGAAAAGGGAATTTCTGGACAACCTTACCCTTTCTTATTCTGCAAAGAGGCTGGTTCGAACCTAGGACCTCCAAGCCACAAGTAGAGAAACTCAACTACTGTGCAAGCCCGCCTTCTTGAGTGTGAAAATTCAATTAACCAATTATTTTCTTTTTGAGTGAGGAATTGCCATTTTT